CAGCTGATTGTATTCAGTCACTGCCAAAAACTTGTTGCTTGATACTTGATTCCCTTAACTCCCCTCCCTTTCCTGAAAATACGAGTCATTTTTTATGTGAATATTGCTTTTATTTGTAACAGGCCAGTTGACAGAGCAGAGAGGAGTCAACAAACATAGCTAAGAGACCTTAGTTTATTACCATAGATGGTTATGAACCTGAAAAAACATGTTTGCTGGTAATTGTAAACATTACAACTTGAATGTTCTTACAAGTAGTTGGAGTGTGTTATCTATAGATTATATCGCTTAATCGAGTATTTTAATTATTTGTAAATGTAGATCATTATTTAAACAGTTGATTAAAATGTAAGTAACTGATTGTACAAGTCTGTTTGCCTTTTCATAGGTAACAGTATTAGAATACTAGAAAAGTTTTATTAGGTAGTGTAGTGTTGCTGGATTCAAAAAGTGTTCTTTTTTAAAGAGTGTTTTCAGGCTTTTAAATACTTTAGCCCTGCAACTGTCTTGGGAGAAATCGTTTAAGCATTTTACTGTCCTGAATATGCATCCTTATGTAGCCAATGGCAAGTTAGGCAGCTAATTAGGAGATGGACATCCAACCACTTTCATGGGTCTGGCTCTTAGCACACTTAGTATTACAGGCCATTAGTTTGGGGAATAAAGTATCTAACAGTGATTTCCCCCACCCCCCACCCCCCCAGTATCCTAGAAGTATGCATTGCCTTTTCTTGTTACCCTTTGTTTATCACTCTTTGGTCAATTTCTGGGCCATATCACTTGTTCTGTAAAAGCTAGCCTTAATTGTATTTATTGAAATTACAAAATAATATCAAAAACTTAGTATTCATTCCTATTCTTTCATCTAGCAGCAACTGCTTTTAGATACTACAAATTGGTTTATTTGCTGTTGTTATACATTCAGAAAGCAGCTGTTTCCTCTGTTACATCTTAACAGCACTCCAGTTTACATTTTGTTTACACATATCAAGGAACCATAATCTTCACTTCTGTGATCTTGTAAAGCTTGCAATATTTTAATTACAAGGCTTAATTTGACCAATATGTATACAAACTATAAAGTATTATTTCTTATTTAACATTTTTTGTTTGTAAACCTATTCTGATTTTAAAGCATCTCATGCATTATTCTTAACTTCTGAAGTGCTAACAAACTTTTAGTAGTTTTACTTAACTTGTATACGGTTGATTGGTTTTTTTTTTTCCAAGCACTAAGACAGAAATTACTATCTTTTATCAAGAGCTCTTGAAGCATTGTTTTCAACCTTTTGGTCCAGCAGAGAACTTTTTTCTCATTTAGAAATACCCAAACTTTTATTTGGCCAGAGCAAGGGTGTTTCGTAAAATGCTTTGTTTTCTTGCCACAAAAACTCTAGGAAGCCCTGTTACGAAAGAAATGCTGTCAAGTGGCTTTCCTCCTGCCTTTATCACTGATGTTCAATAACCATTCAAAACTTACAGGGTCAGGTAAGAGCTTTCTTCATAGAGCAGTGACATTATTTCTGGTTAGCCTCCGATATGTTATATTTGCTGAGAGCTCAAATGCATTTTTCATTTGATTTTTTGTTTTGTTTTGTTTTTGTTTTGTGGTTCTATCATCTTTTACAGAAGGGATTTTTTTTTTTAAGTTTAGTTTAACCAACTAAATCTGCTGATGGATCCACTGAGCAGTTATTCAGAAGTGTTTGCTAATGTGTCTTGCTTTATGAAAATATCCAAAATAATTGGATTAAGAATGCAGCATGCAAAGTATTTTTCCAATAGCAATATTTGAAAAATCTATGTGTGAATGGTGCTGTATGCTCATTGTTGCATATATGTGTGTGTTTTAAGCTACAACAGCTTAAGTGAATACTTCAACACAACAAAATAAGTACTTGAAGACCGAAGAATGAGCAACTCTGAGTGCTTGGCATATACTTCAGTGCTTCAAAATTACACCTTTACTTGCTTGATAATTAAGCTTGTTATTTCCTTTTTTTTTTTAGCTCAGTCTTTTAAGTATTGATCCTGCAAAGACTTGTGCGTGTGACTAACATTCAATGGAAGTGTTCAGGCAGCTGAAGTTAGGCAGGTTCTTCAGTCCTTGCAGGATTCGGATCTCGGATTCCTTAATGTTTATATTCTTAAGGAATATTTAAAATTTTTTTTGCTGTAATGCAAAATATTTATTTCTGAACATCCTTGAAGTGTTTTTGTTAGCTTTTCTTCATGGGATATTTTAAGTGGACATTGGGAAAATGTAACTTTTGTTGGGGGAGTCAGAGGAAGGGAAGAATATTGTAATGAGTGAGGGGAAATGAATAACAAACTCTAATACGAGATTTCCTAAACTTTGCCAACAACAGAAACACCACCATATTCACCAACTTTGCTGCTATGTCACTCTTCAGTAAAAAATAAAAAAAAGCTACTTACTATGAGCGTTCCAAAGGGAATATATGAAACAATGTTTTGATTGCACTAATTCTTAGTGCTGTAACTGGTGAAATGGTATGAACTATCTTGCAACACCCTGAACGCTGTCAGTGTTTAGGTGTTAAGAACCTGATTTATTTTACATTAGCTCTTAAGCAGACACATTCATTTGCGCATGTTAGTTATAGCATTGACAAGTACCGTAAGCTGTCTCTTTAGAATTAGTATTATCAAGAGGAAGCTTTTTTAATAACCTCTTCTTAATAAATTACCAATAGTGAGGAGCTGACCCAAAACCTGAGGCTTGTCTTCATGCTTACCTGTCTTCATTGCTTCTTTATAATTATGTGCATTTCTGTGTGTGTGTGTGTATATATATATCATTCACTGTGTACGTTCATACTTGTTTCTGCAGTAAGTTTGTGACTTCCTAGGAATCAAAACTCTCAATTGGGTCTTTGTTTCTGTGGGTCAAAGATATACCTGCCTGGTTCTCAATTTTTTTTTTTTTTTTTAATTTTATTTTAATACCATACAGTTGCCTCTAGAGACTGAAAATCCAAAGCAGCTAGAAATGTGTTGAATAAAAAATTAGAATAGTGACATCTGTGTTACATAAGATGTTCCGAAGTCAAATATGTTCATGATCTCAGAAATAGTCTCTAGGAAGTTCATGTTTGTAACTACTACTGTGGATCATCTGTTTTACTGCAAAGAAAAATGCAAGCTATCTTCTGTAAATGTTTTACTTTGTTTAAATCACTTCTGCTACCTGAACAGAATCTGCTATTACTTGTTAAGCCTTGTAAGATTAAAATATTAAAATATGTAATTTGTTTTTGTTTCTGCATTGTAGGTTTTGACTTTTGCCTATAAGCACTCATTGGTAAATAAAATGTACGGGAGAGGTCTCAAGTTTGCCACAAAACTTGCAGAAGAGAAGCCAACGAAGGACAACTTGAAAAACTGCATTCAGGTAAGGTGTATTTGGTAAAGTAATGGGCTATGTTCACGCTGAGTAAGCTTTTAAAAGTAAGATACAAGTCTTTTTGAATTTTTGATTCCTTTTACACTGTGAAACTCGCTAAACTTAACATTTTAACTTCATCCAGGCTTTTGTGGCTTGGCCTCCATTTTTAATAGTGATTTCCTCTTTCTTTTTCTAGAATAGCTAGTTTGTGAGTAACTATCATTTTTAGCAGATTTACTTTCTGAAACTTACATTGGGGCATAGAGAAAGTAGAGACAATTTAGCCAAAGATCATCTGCTTATTTAAAATCCCATTATGTTGCTGTTTAACCACTGTTATTTTTACTATTATTAATCACAGTTATTGCTAGTAGAATATAGGTGGAGAATTAATGGGGATTACTGAACTCCTAGGACAAAATTTTTGTGCGTTGGGTTGAAAGACTGTAGATCATATAGAATTAATTACTTAGTCCTGAAAGGGGAAAAAGAAAACCAAAGATCACCAGTTCTCCAACCCGTTATCTTTCTGATAATAGACATCTTTAGTAAGATGTTGATATCAATGCAGTGTTTGTTGGAAGGATTTAGATTTTCAAAAGAATAAGACCCTAGAGCTTCTCATTTTTTTTTTTATTGTTTGCTTTTTTCCTTCAGCTAATGAAGTTGCTTGGATGGACTCATTGTGCAACTTTCACTGAAAATTGGCTTCCTGTCATGTATCCACCTGATTATTGTGTATTCTAGAAAACCAACAATTGTAAACTTAAAGTAATTTTATATGGGGCAGGATATGAAAAGATAAGTTTGACTTTTTATTGGAGCGCATGTTTTCATTACTGAATGCTGATTATTAAATTGTGTGTATTTATCAGTAATGGCACCTGGGTACAGCTTAATACCTGTTAACCTAACTCCTGTCATCAGGGAGTTTCCTTATTGTGCATCCCATTGCTGGCAATGGATGTGCCAGAACTGCCAACACCCAAGGATTTGAAATTAGGCTGGAAAGGCTTACTGCATGCATGTTAGGTTCTTAACTGTTACTTTTAACTGCAAACCTGTAAAAGCTCTGTATTTTTTACAGTGAACTGAATTTTAACATGTTTGATCTTAATTTCAATTGTATGAAGGCCTTAAAGCTACTTCAAGAGTAGCTAAAATCTTACTTACTAGACTAAAGTAACGGGACGTCATTACCTGTATTGTTTGCAAGAGTTTACATTTAATTTTTTTTTTAAGAAAAATTCAACCTCTCAAACTGTTACAATATGTAACTCAGAATTGCTGATGCATAGGTGCTCTTGTAAATCTTCATTTTGGAGTGATTTCAGGCAAACTCAAAAATCCATGTGAAGTTGAGTATCAGGACAGGCTGATACATGTATAAAAGTGCCAGACAGTTAAATCTTGATCAGGTATTGTAAAGCTATACATATATGTTTAATAATGTTAAAAATGTAAAACACAGCAGAATAAATGTGCAAAGTTGAAGATCAAAAACCACCATGTGCACTCTGATACTTTAAAAGATTATTTTATAATTAATAAAAACAAATAATGAAGCTGAAAATCGTATTGGTTTCTGAAAGAGTATATAAATGAAACTTGCTGAAAGAAAACACCTTACAAACAACAGAAGTTCAGTGCAGCCCAGAAGATTAATGCTTTCTGTTAAAGTCTTTTCGCTATTGCTACTAACGGTGTTCCTTCAGCGGAGTGAAATTGGTCTGTTTGAACAGGTCGTACGTATCTACCAGAGACAAATTGCTATATCATTTGTCTTGCCAGTTTTTTCATAACTTGTAATGCAAAACTCAGATACAAGTGCAACTTCACAAACATGGATGCACAGAAGGTGCACCGTAATGCTGCAAAACATTCCAAACTGTAAGGTGCTGCCATGAAATCAAAATTAGTAATAGTTTTCTCTTTAATTCTCTCTTACTGTGGCTTTAAGCAGCTTGACATTTGATTCTGGAAATTCTGCTAGAATGGTTGTGTTAAATATATTGCAAAGTTTTTCCAAAAATTCATAGTCTGTACTGAATCTGAATTTATTTGCCCATAGTAATACTGTTCCTGGCTTACAAAAATACACCATTGTTGCTAGCAGGGGGTCCAGAGCTGTATGATGGTATACCACATCAGTTGCCAGTATGAAATCATAATGGTAAGTTGATACAGGGAAGTCTTCGTTGAGGCCTTCTCCCCATACCAGTTTTCTCACTTCAGGTTTGTGCGTATTCATGTTCTGTGTATTTCTTGAAATATTAAATGAGAGATTTTCAAGAACTTCAGGCAAATCAGTAGCTGTAACGTAAGCTCCTAAAGAAAACATGATTTTGTTTCAATTCATAGGTATGTAGTTGAGCATATATATATATATAAAAAAAACTTTGTCTACATAACTTCCCCAGCTTCCCCCTCACCAATAACTAGGGTAGTTACTTTATTAACAAAACAGTATTTTTCCAATAATTTTCATTTTAAAAAAAGCAGTGACAAAGTTTACTTCAACTGTTGCTTCATTGCCTTAAAGTGACAGTGGCAGATCTAGATCATCTTTCACGAGAAATCCAAAAGGAAATACAAATTTACTAACCTAAGATACAGGCCACAATGGAAACCAAGCCTGTTCCAGCGCCAATTTCCAAAACTTTTTTGTCTTTGAGGTTGAATTGTTCTTGATTTGATTCCAGATACTGAGATAAAGCCAGTGCCTAAAACAGTTCACACATATCCATAAAAGGGTAACAGGTAAGTTGCACAAAAATTCATTAGATGTTTTTATACAGGTTTTTTTTCTTTATACAATGAAAAACACTCAAGGCTGTAACATAAAAATGTACTATGGAAAGAATTATCATGTGTCCTGTTTGTTTTATATATACATATATATATATAAAAAATTTAAACAGCTTATTTTTAGTTTTAGGTTTATGGGATATGGATTTGCTACACACTTCTGTACACTGTGAGTCCTCTGACAGGTCAAGATAGTCAGTGTTTAGATGTGAACCATACAGTTAGAACAGCAAACAAGAGGTTTAACGATATGTAAAAAGTAATGTTCTGGTTTATTATCATAAATGTTATGGTTTATTATCACTATCATAAAGTAGATTCAAGCTTCAGCAGAGATTTTTTTTTAAAACCAATTTTTTGTTGGTTTGTTTTAAATTTTTTTAAAGGAAGTATTAAATTTTTTTTATCTACCAACTCAATGCTTGTCTACTGATAATAGTGTAAACTTTAAACAAAAACAAAAAAAACCCCAACTGTACTGTATGGAAGTATTGCTTATCAGACCTTTGTAAAGATCTTATCAATAGAACATAAATCGGCTGTTTATAAACAACGTAAACCAATGCCAAAGAAACTAACTTCCCCCCTTTTTGCTTCTCTTCTTTAGAGTTGTGTTACTGTTACTGTTTTAACTCTTGTGCTTTTCATAATGCAACACTGGCTACCTGCTCTGGGAAAGCTGACAGCTAATGAATCACCAGTCCAGTTTGTGCAACCTCTCGATTTTCTTGGAAAGTTTTACCGTCTGCATTCTGACACCTGACTAATGTGTGAACTGATGATCTGACATTTCAAAATAAGATACTGTTTCACCCACCCATACGCTTTCTTTTTCTCTATTGTTTTGAAATTGACTGCCATTTTCTGTGAACTTTTTCAATAAATGTGGATCTGAAAAATTTTGAAATCCTAATTTTCATGTCTTTGTCGGTTTACCCTCTCTTCCCTCAAAGGCAGTTTTCTCAGTCCACATAAAATTCTGTTTTTAAGAGCAGGAGAAGCAAAGACTGGAGAAGAACTGTTTGGAAGTATGGTTTTCCATACTGCAATGCAACTGTTCCAGCCTGTTCTTTAAAAGAAGCATATTTAATTGTTTTAAACTCCTTTATTTAATCTCTCATAATTTTCTTTTTCAGCCTCCTTTTTGTACTGCTGATTGATTGCTTCCCAACAGTGACTGACTGGAAACATGGAAGAAGCTGAACACTTCTTCCCCAGTTCCCTTTCTTAATTTTTTTTCAATATCTGCATGCAATTTACAAATACCTGGGTGCCACAGTGCTTTTGGCGTGAACTGGCAAATTAGCATAAGGCAGAGCTTTCTGCTGAAGTACTTCGCAACTTCATTCTGCATAGGGAAATGTCTGCTGTCAGAAGTGTCATCTAAGAAAGCTTCCTTAATGCTTGTGTACCACTGTCAGGGTTTTCTCTTCTGTCCTGTCAGCTTTCTGGGTGCTGTCTCACGTACTTACCCCTGGCCATACCACGGCTCCAAAGTGTTCTATGGACTCCTGAATGATGATCTGGTGGCCAGCATATGTGTAGTGCTCTTTATCAAAGTAGTGGGAAACTCTAGGGGCCCAGTTCTGTAGCATTTTAAGAGTTACTGGTGAATCTGTGAGAGAAAAGACAGAATTTGTATTTTCATATGCAGGTGTTTATATGCAACTTGTTAAAGAGTAAAAAGTATTTTGTGAAGATAGTACGTAGGCACGTGGACTAGAAGAGCTGTTAGGCCATCAGCCTGGAGACTGGTTGCTGTCCAGGTGTGGATCATCTGGCTGGCCAGGGCGTGAAAGGAGCAATGGTCATTTCCTGCCATTCTGAGTGTTTGCGTGGGCAATTTACAGATAGATTTGAGCCTTTTGGAAAAATCTACTAATTTAAATGTTATAACTTTGCTAATAACAGCTAGAAGACTTTCAGGACCAAGTTAGCTTGTATTTTGGGGTATGCTGTTGTTCGTACTATGCCAGAGTATGCCATGTAGGGGTGTGTGCTGTAGTTCTCATTTGTGGGGCCAAGAGATCTGGAACATTAAGCTTCTTTTTACAAAAGAAGGCTTTAGGATTTATCTCTAACATTGAAGAAAACCTAGCTCTTTTTAGCGGTTATTTTTTAACCATTCTTCTACAAAAGGAGGGTTGTAAGATACTCTTTAAGTTTACGTTGACATATACGGTGCTGTTCAGCGAGTGTGAGTACTACAGTTGTGCTAGCATGTCTCATCATAGCGAGCAGGCTTGAGGGTGAGATTTTTCAGGAGAGCTCTGCTGAACTGCTCCATCTGATCTCACTGAAAACAAGGACACTGTTCTGAATGACTGTGCTGTTGTTGGAAGCCTGTTAGCAAGGTATGCGTAGGTGATACAAAATCGTCTTTTACCGCAAAGAAAAATTGTGCTCTGGCTTGCATGGATTTTAATTGATGCCTGTCTGGAGTCCTTGGTAGGTGTTTGAGCAGCTTCGCCTGTTGAAACTTGTAATACCACAGCTTCAACAGTGCCAGTCCAATTAACGCATCTTATAGTCATATCTCTGATTGTAATTGAGAAATAATTCTTAGCTGTCTAAATAAAATCCAGAGACCTTTATAAACATACATCTTAATTATGGAGATAGTCCTTTTTGTAGATTTGGTCTGATACTAAATACAGACATAAGGGGAAATGGTGGAAAAAAATAGAGATCAAAAGGGAAAGTGACACGGTGACATCTACTACTTGAAGACTGAGAAAAGTGGAAGTATGAAATGCTAGCATGCCGTGGCAATTGCAGTATCTAAGTCGGATTAAACCTGAGTCGGATTCTGCTGTTGATGATGCACGCTTGGAGCTACAAGTGCAGTTTTCAGAGTCGTACTGCTCTTCGCAGGTTTCTTCTTCCTCAGTTTGGCAGTCCATTACTCTTCGAATTTTGTTGGGGAACGGTGGCTGCTGTGCAGAGATCATGGCAAAAGAGCTGAAATGGAAGGGGGAAAATAATGTTGTAAAAGCTTGGGGGCACTCTCTTGTATGAGATACGATTGGAAGAAGACAGTGAGTAGTTTGGGCAGGCTTTGGTTTTGGGTTTTTTTCAATGACAGGTTGAAAGGTCAGGAAGCCACGATGAGAGGTGATGTCCCCACTCCACTGGAAGTTGATGCGAGCGCTTTCTGGTAACACAGTAATACTATCAGAGTTCTTATTTTATCATTTCTGCAAAATCTTAGCATTATGTCACTAAATGGATGCCACTAATCGGTATGAAAAGTAAGCTACTTGCATGGTACCCCTATCAGTTGGAGCAACAGCTGAGAAAGACGAACTGTCTTTTAATGTCTATGACTTCTTATCTGTGTAATTTACCATTTCCCAAAGAACTTGGGACTTGGCATTCCTACGATAAAACTGGTTAATTTGCTGCAGCCGGTACTCTCGATTTTGTCTCCTTGTATACAGTTGCCTTCTCTTCTCTGCCTTTTCCTGCAGAACAGCTAATTGAATTGCCCTGAAATGTAGTGAACTGCAGAGTATGCAGATTGCGGTCAGGAAATCGTTGCAGTGGGAAGTTTGGATCGGTAAGCTTTTTTGGAGAACTCTGTGTGTGTTACGAATGACTGTATCTTCAGTGTACAGGGCAGCACCTGACATAAGAAGGAACTGCTTGATAGCAGCTAACAAGCAGTAAAAGCAGGAGTAGGACTGGATCTAAATTTGCCTGGGGAGAAATATGCCAGTGAAACTTTTCGTTTAACTAGAGTTTTCTTCAGTGATAGCACCTATGTATATGCGCATCCGTGTGTGTACTCACACATGTATAGATGTATAAAGAGAAAAAAAAAGGTTCCTAACTTGCTCTGGCCAGAGGCTGTACCAGTTCACCCTTCCCACGTATTGTGATGGCTGGAGTGTGCTACGTTGTCCATGACTGGCCTTACTCCATTCGGTTTTGAGGATGCATATGTGTTTGCCCTCTGCAGCCAGATGCGCTGCAGACAAAGTGTTGTATAATTGGGGTTGCATCATACTGCAGGCGGCTGTTCTAGATATCCTGGCCAGAAGGGGGAGAGGTTTGGCAGCGGCCGGGAGGTTCAGCAATGCCTGCAGGTAGTTTTTTAAGGAGCAGAGTGACTGCTGACTTGTGTGGGTGGTTGATTTGCACACATGATATTGACGCCATTGCAGTTTTACTGATAACTGATTCATTCCTTACTGCTGCTCTGTTTATTCACAAGGATGGGACTTGTGTTCTAATTGCTCTCGCACTGCGTTTGTTCAGTCTCGGCAGTGATTTTGTACTGTTTCAGAAAAGAGAGTGCTTTAAAGTAAACTGATTTCTGCAGATGTGGGGCTTTTTAATTCTGATTTTATTTTCCTCAGAGGGCCTCCATCTAGCTGGTAACAAGTTCTGGCTATGCACCTTTTGTGTATAATTTGAGATATGATGATGGTAGGTAAGAGACTGAAGATAGTGCTACAGTTAAGCATTCCCTGACATACGAGTGAATGCATCCGTGTTCACATTTCACATGTGAAAGTGTGCCTCCTTACAACAGCAATGGTTTCTATGCAATCTCATGTAATCAAAAGTGTACTTGCAGTTTTCAGCAATGCCTCTTTTTTATATCTTCAGCTAGAATAATGTCTGGTCATGTTTTAATGATTTAGGACATCTCTGGAAAAATATATTGAGACTTGTGTAATTGGCAAGGTGTGTAATGAAGAGAGAAGAATGTCAGAACTGGTGATGGCTACAGCCAGAAAACACTTACGTGAAGACCCAGCGTTCTGAACATTTCACGTTTAAACATGCAAAGCGCTACCTTTTCGAAGTTTGGGTTTGTTTGGGGTTTTTTGTTTTTTGTTTTTTTTTTTTCATTTGGTAAGGCTCTTGTAGTATGAAATCTGTACTATTTAAGTGAAAGGCTGATCCTGAAATTACAAAGTAGGGGGAAACTTAGCATTGTCCAGTACCCTTATATGTAAAAACCAGAAAAGCTTGTTTAATGAGTAAGCTGTTCAACTTGTCAGTTTGGGTAGAAAGCGATCCTTCTGTATTTTTTTTTCTTTGCTTAGATAAGTGCAACAGGTCAAAATTTCAGTGCATACCACAAAATAGCTTGGAAACAAGCTTAGTAAATATATATTTGTTGATCCACTGTTAAGTACTTGCAGTAAATACAGTTGCGTCTGATCATAATAGATATATACCCTATTATCACGCATTCAGTACAGAGTGAATTCTAAATTAAATTAGACATGTTACATCAAATTTTCAAAATAAAAATTGCTATGCTTTCTTGTGCTTTGTCCTTTGAGCTCCTCTAAAAGAGGAGTCTGCTTAAATATTTACAAAGATGCTTTGTTGTTTTTATTAAATCCCTTCTTAAAATGATCAGGAGGTCTAGAAGACGCCTAGTGGTTACACTGGTACTGTGGTGAGACTGGTGTGGCCCTTAAGTCCATCAGTTGCCCGAGTTCCTAGATGGTAAACTGGGGGGATAAAGATTATGCACTTTGCATTGGTATGTCACCTAACACACTGCGCTCTGGTTTATGGCTGGGGCTTCTAGATGCTTTAATAATAGCTTTTCGTAGGTGTAGTTTTTGCAAAAGAGAAAGGTGGAGTTGGTTTTTGGTTTGGGTTTTTTTAATATATATATAGAGAGAGAGCCCCCTGCCATAACTATTAATTATATGTATCATAAACTGGAGTAAAAAGTAAGGCTTTTTTTAGCTGCAATCTACAGGACAGATTTAGTCTTATAATTTCAAGAATTCAAGTATATTAGTATCTTGGCCTTAATGGTGCACAGCTTTATTTTATAATTTTAAATGACAAACTGTACCTGAAGACTACAGACACAAGGGAGTGTTGAGTAAGCTATTTGCAAATAGGTGGTGTTTGCATTATTACATACCCTATGTGTAATATGGTCAAGTTGCTGCTGTGCTTCTAGAATTGTAAATACTGACATTTCTTTAATACTTTGACATTTTTCTGATCCATATTTCACAGAAAATGGTATATCTCTAAAAGCATTTTGATTTAATATAATAATATTGCAACCAAAATCTGTTCCCTTAGAAAATGTTGGCTCTTTCTGAACGTTAGCAGCTGATTTCTTTGCAAAATGATCCTGAAGGGAAATAATCATTAAATTCTGTGCTTTCCAAAGTTTTTAAACCCATATTGACTTCATTAATAGTCTTAAACTGCTGTGAATAAAACAACTTACAAAATCACATTTGATTTCTTCAGAACCTAAGGAAGAAAGAATAATTCACAAAATTATATCTATTTGACAATGCCACATAGAATTAACAAGGTAATTAAACACTGAAGGGCAAATTGTAAGGTGATTATAAACCTTAACGTAACAGCTTATCCCCTATAAGAATAAATTTTGTGCCTCTTAACTTCCAAAATCCATTGCTTGGAAAGAGCTTTTCAAATCTAGCTATGTGGACCCCCCCCCCCCACAAAAAAAAAAAAAAAAAGTAGGTTAGTGAGCAGTACTGTGTCACTGGGTCTTCAGCTGTAAACACAACTCTGCTACTCTGCTGAAATGTGTTTCTCTCACCTCTGCACAAAGTTACTCAGCATAGTCTGTTTTAGTCTGAATTATTTGTGCAAAAGCCAATTCCATGTGCTCACATGGGAAATGCAATTGCAGCGTGTTCTGTGCGAGATAGGGCTTAGCCATGCACTCATACCATACACAGACATCCGTGTTTAATCTTACAGCTCACGCAGTTTTCTCATGTTCTCATGCACTAAATAAAGAAAAGTATTATAAAAGGATGAATATAAATGCTAGGAAGTAAAGGCAACATCAGCGCTAGGAACATCACTATAGTAAACTTATTATATGACATTTGAGTCCACAAGGTAAATGCATCCAAGTACTGACAACCAGCAATGATAGTCGCTCCTCACGAAATAGTAGGGGCTAGGTAAGCTGGATTTCGCTGGCTAACACACTGACCTGAAATATAAGAATTCAGACAAACGTCTTTCCTTTGTTAGTTAGCAGAGAACACAAAGACGAGTCAGACGAGGTTAGCTGGACAGCTGTGTGGTTACCTGCTGTGACAGAGGGCGCTGGAAGTTTCCTGTGGGTGGATGCATGCTCCAGAGGTTTTTATACAGGCGTGCACCTGGAAGGAGTAACTCTCTGCTCCGACCAGTCGGATTGCAGGCTATTTAGAGTAACATTACCAGGCAGCGCTCGAAGAACTTACCGTGTTACACTAAACTCTTCCACATTTGCAGTACAAAATGAAAACACTCTTGGGCTTTGAAGTCCCAAGCGTACCAACCTTCGGAAATAAAATCTTGGCTTCCTCCAACCTCTTGTTCCGTTTTTGCAGATTAAGTGTTCCCTGCGTTCACCTTACGATCTGCAGTGCTGACCCAAAAAAGCAACTTAGCGTGGGCAAACTCGTGCATAAATAATGTGTGTGGCCACTTGGCAGTAGCCCAAACACAGAGAAAAGTTCATGAAGCTCCTACTGACAGGAGAAGGTCAAGTCTTCCTTGCCCCGCTGAGCGTCTGGCTGGGGCAGCTCTGGGTACCCTCCCCTGCCCCGAGTCAGGGAGGGTATGGAGAACCGACAGTCCTGAGGAAATAACAGCTTTCCCGTCGTCTTTAGTGCAGCTCATAACCGTAGGAAATATTATATCTACTGAAAGAGAGAGTGCAAACATGAAAATCACACTTTCATCAGAAAATCTTGCAGTTGCTTGTTTTAAAACAGATGGATATTATAGATGTTGGAGCTAAACCAAATATGTATTCCTTACACATTTCAAGAATTTGAGAGTTTTATATGCATTTACCGCTTTGCTGCCCTTCTGCCCTCCCTTCTCCTTCTTGGAAAAGATTCTGTAGCAAGAAATTTAATTACAGGGCAGAAAAATTTAAAAGGAACTTTGAAAGTCATAAAGCTAGGAAAAAAAAAACCCTGGCTAATTAATGAACAACTGAAGGTTGGCAGTAGAAATAAGGGGGATGGGGGGGGGTAGATTTTTAACTCAATTTATAGGCATTTGCATCTTTGGATGAACAGCTTTTGAATTCAGGTAATGCTTTTTTGAAGAGTGGCAAAGGAAAAAATGAGCCTTTTCTGTCACTGCGGCTGGCTGTGTATTTCACACGTTAGCTACTGCGTGTCTCTAGCAGTCACACCAACTATAGGAAACACTTGGCTGCTCATTCAAATGCTCACCAGTTTTTCTTTCCTCTGAAATTTGATAGTTAAAAGATGCTTTTTTTTTTTTTAATATACTTGGGACCTAGTATTGAGATACTAACTGTATTAAGTTGATACCTAAACGTTGCATTTCACAGGTCCACCTGGCTTTACAAGTAGTGCAAATGAGCGGTCCTGAGCTAGGTCAGTAGCTGTTATTAGAAAGAAAAAGGCAGATATGCCGCTGTTGGGATGACTGCCATACCTTTTTTTAAAGACATGGTCTTTTTAGCAGGCACGTTCCCGCTGTCATATTTATTGTATTTGTCACCGGGGGTGACCGTAGCTCAGACTGGTGCTGCTGTTAAAAGTTCTGTCCTAAGCTTTGGCAATGGGATTGATGCTGAAGGTAAATAGCTTATTTTTTAAATCAGATCAGAGGAACTGGCTTACTCTATATTGTGTCTCTTGTGTAAGCAACTGAAAAGGCTGGCAACTGTAGGGACAGCGTTACAGCTGATTTACAAATCATGTAGGTATGGTATTGTTTCTTGTTTATAAGTGATACAGGAACCAACACTGATACTCTGAAATGTAGCTGTTGTTGACACACATTTACTATATAGTTTCTATAAATGCTTCTTGTGCTACAGTCTATCTCCAAGCATTTCTTGTTTCGCTGAAAATGAGCGTTGTCTGGAGGTGTAGCCCCATGGACTTAAAATTTCTCTAGGCTTCTGTGAATAGGCAGGCTGAGGGGAGTACAGCACCTCAGTTCTATGTGTAAAAGGGTGGTTTTCAGTTATTAATTCCACAAAGCTCTGAATTATTCGGTTGGCTTTTCTGTTTCTGTAGATGCTCATGGGAATTTTGTGATCTAGACCATTTGTGGAAGACAAAACGCAACAGGCTGCCAAATGTGATGAAGTAAATCAAACTTCAAATATTTTTAGACTGTATTTAATTTTAATGTGAGTCGTGTGGCTTGGGTTTTGGGGTTTTTAAGTCTGCTTATATGAAATCTAATTGGTGATGTGGGTGTCTCTCCTTTTCGGTGCTATCAAACTACCAGCAAAGCTGGGAAGAGTATTCTTCCTAACTCTGCCTGTCACTGAACTCAGCAGTAGCATCCTCTTCAGTGTATAGGCAGAGTAGAACTATATTCATATTATTGGATTATAGATTAGAGTGATTTAAATTTAAAAAAAAATTAAAAGTTCCTCTGCTGTTAATAGTAGCGAGCTCAGTGTAAAATTGCTAAAACCTTCATTAAAAGATTGTGAGAAATAGGTGTGAAAACATTAAGGTCTTCTCTGAACCCATCAGGAGCAAGAAGCCTGCCAGATTTGTGCCAGAAGAAGGCAGAGTTAGACCAGAAAAGTTAAAAGGTGTTCTTATCAATGAAATTAATAGTCACAAATCACCAGGACCAGATGGTAATTACCCAGAACTCTGCAGTGAAATTACCAGCTCCGAACCAGAGCGTGGTGCCTGCTGCTGAAAGTAGACTTGATACCAGAGCGCAGGAGGCTGTACAAACGTGAGGCGTATTTCTAAGGGGGCCTGGGAGGGGTCTAGGGAACTGTGGGCCAGTAAGTCTGACATCTGTGCTAGTTAAACTGAGAGGAACGGGGTAGCGTTGGTGTTAGCTGCTGAATAATGAGGCACAGTGTGGAAAAGGAAGAAGGTTTTGTATTTGTTTTGTTCTTTGAAAGTGCCTACAAACATGTGGTTCAGGGGCCTCCAGTTAATACAGCGTACGTGGATTTCCACAAGCTTTTGGTGAGGTCACTCACTAAAGATCCCTACAGAAATGAAGCATTGCTGGGGTAAGAAGGGGGAGTTATCTTTTGTTTTAATAATTTGTTAACAGCAAGGAGGCAATAAATGGTCAGGTTTACAATGTCCCATGGGGAGCCGTGGCTACTGGGTGTATTCCTAAAAGCTAATGGGAAATGAAGAAAGTAGTGTGGTGACAATAATGTAGAATTATTCAAGATGGTGAAAACAAAAATAAGCTGGAGAGTTCCAAAAGGATCTCTGACACTTTGAGAGGTGATAATATGATAAATGAAATTCGTTGCTGACAAGTATAATATATTACACAGGGACAGCCTCTAACTCCGTACCACCTAGGAAAGAGATCTTCATGGCACCAGAGACAGCTATATAAAAAAACCTTTGTGAACCATATCAGTAATCAAAAACATAAAGAGACTGTTGTGTCTAAGAAGAAACAAAAAAACCAAAACAACAAAAAAGGAACACTGTTTTTCCTCTCTAGAATTCAGAGTTTGTCTCGCATGTTCAGTGTGTGATTCAAGTCTTCGATTAAAACATTCAGGGTCTCAGAGCCCCTGCAGGGTTTGCCGCAGGTCCTGGGCGGCCTGGTGAATGACTGACGAATAATGGCAGACTCCCAGTTCTAGAGCAGATTCTCCTCATCCTTACTGCTGGAGGCATCTGCTGGACTTTCCTGGATGTGGAAAGCATGTTTGCATTCTCCAAATGGCAGGGACTTCTTAACTGCTGTCAGCAGCCAGCTAAATGTCTACAGCATGGTGTTGACAGGGCCTGCGCCGTTTGCTGAAGTACAAACAACTGCAAGGTGAAATTTGTTCCAGGTTAGCATCTTCAGTGTTTGGGTTTTTTTTTTTTTCCTATTCCTTATGGCTGTGGGATGAATCCTCAGCTTAAAGTCACTAATACCCAAAGGTAATACTGGTGGCCTTCCTGACTAGCGGCAGCCGTAGGTGTAGAGCAACATAGGATATAATCCTCAAACCAAACCCACTGTTTTCATTATTTTTGAAATGAGAAATCCTTTCTCCTTGGTACAGGCCTTCTTTTGCTCACCTAGCTGAGGTGACTCGGGGATGGTGACTCAACCCCTTCCCTGGGCAGCTTGTTCCAATCCTTGACAAAAGCATTCTTTTTTTTCTTTAATTGATTTAATGTTGCATGTTAAGTTAATCAGGCTTAACCTTCTTTGCGCATAGAATGAGATGACACACATCTCAAAGAAGGGAGCAAAGCAGAGCATTGCCAGATAAGTAATTATTTAAAGCTGTGCTATCACATAGGGGATCTTCATGTTCAGGAGCATAGAAGAATGAAGTAATGCTCCAAGATTTTATGCTGAGACGAGGGACGCCGGGCTGCGCCCGCCTCGCCAGCAGCTCCTGACTGCCGTTAGCTGTGTGTCGTTTGTTTAATGCCTGCCGTGTCCTCCCCTGGCAGTCCAAATGCTGCAGCTCGGTAGCAAAGCTGTTGGGGAAACGAGTGCTGCGTCACTTGGGCTCACTGCAAGAGCCAAGATGGTGAGGAATGGGACTATAAATTGAGTGTTGATTTCCATCATCTAACCATCCTCTGTGACTTAGGCTGCTCTGGATTAGGTTAAAGAGCCTCGTTTATGTGAGAATAGATGTGTTTTGTACTTTCTGTGTCCATCTGTGGGATCTGTTGAGCAAGTGCTCTTCCTGCCTTGCAGGAAAAGCAAGGAGACAGGTGAGTCAAAATCTGGCTTTGGGTGGTCTGAGTAGGACCTCCCTTCACTTGTCTTTAAGTGAAGAGCCCTGGAGTGTTATTTAAGCACACACTCTGTAATACTCTGGATTAGGCTAAAGAGCCTCGTTTATGTGAGAATAGATGTGTGTTGTACTTTCTGTGCCCATCTGTGGGATCTGTTGAGCAAGTGCTCTTCCTGCCTTGCAGGAAAAGCAAGCGAGACAGGTGAGTCAAAATTTGGCTTTGGTGGTCTGAGTAGGACCTCCCTTCACTTGTCTTTAAGTGAAAAGCCCTGGAGTTTATTTAAGCCTCCCTTCACTTGTCTTTAAGTGAAAAGCCCTGGAGTGTTATTTAAGCACACACTCTGTAATACCAGAAGTAACAGTTTCTGCTTTTTTTTTCTTTTCCCTAGTAATTTCCTTCTTGTTGAGGTTTTTGTCCAGCTTCTGTATGTGTCTCCTATCACGGCAAAGACCCGTTATGTAAATGAACACAGGTCACTTAGGTACCATGGACCTGCATGAGGAGATTGGTTAGAGAGGTACAACTGCAGGGGGAAGGCAGCGGAGGAAACGGGGAGGCACACCACGTGGCACCGCTGGATGTGGAAGGTGCGTTTGCCTGCGTGAAGTCACAGGTGAACCAGATCCTTTGCCCTCGTATTCACATATTGACAGCAGAGGCAATATAACACACCCATGGATTTTTTTTTGCAGCTGATTAACTCCTGTTTTATTATAAAGCCACATGCTTCTGCTCCCCTCAGCAATGAGTTTCGGGGATGTCTTCAAGCCTTCTGTACTTAATTTTTCAAAATGTGAAGCTGCTTGCCTTCAAGGGATTGTTTTAGTTTGAATTTCCTCATTAATCTTCGTTCTCGTCTGTATTTGGACAGCACTGTTTTTAATAGGGACAGGTTTTTCCCTTGGTGCCGCCTCTTCCTCATCTGCTTCTTCACCCCGCCTGTTTGGAGATCCGCTGCTCCCTGGGGAAAGAAGTCATTAAAGCTGAACTTTCATCTGAAGTCTCTCAAAGCTTGGGAAGAATTTTACCTCTTCGCTAAGGAGCCCTCTGCCCTTCCACGGGGTGTTGTCTTACCTCCCGTGGTCCCTCTGCCATTTCTCAGCCAGTTGCTCGGGGAAGGACTCGATGCCATCTGCTATTTTTTCCTTATGGCAAGGAAAGAGGACTTGAACTAATTCCATGGGGCTTTTTATAGAGCAAAGATTGTGATGGTCTTAATGTACCGAACTGGAAGTTTTACAGCAGGGCTGCCTTTACTTGATCTGTTTGGGGCTGGTTACTATACACACAAATGAGGGACCAACTTAAGCTGCCTGTGTTAAGGATGAACGCGCCACTCGGTGCTACAGCTTTGGTTGACCGCAGTTACCACCACACAGAGGTAAAACTGGCAGGGCTTTTTTAACAGCCTTTTTCGTGTGGGACACTTAGTTGTCCCCTGTTGTAATAGCATTTGCCTAGGATTAAATTCTGCTGAAGCCAGGGAGAGTTTTGTTGTGGTGGGAGATGATCAAATGGCTGAATAACAAGAATGCAAGATCTGATTAACGGTATCCCACTGAAGAGTCTCCTTGCTTTTCCTCCACTTGTGAAAAATCTGGTATTTCTCTAAAAGGAAGATAAAAATGGATTTAAAGTAATTTCAGATTAATGACTAATGAGTAGCTCAAGCAACATTTACAACTAAGCAATTAGTTCTGCAGCGGGAATTATTTAGAAATTAGTCTTTGCAGACTATTATTAGAAGTAACTTGACCTCGTTAAAAAGCATCGTATGGAAGAGTGTCTATTGACTTGGCAGCCACCTTAATGCAATGTTTTTTAACAAACCTGGCCTTCTGTGAGCTTAACTGTACAAATACAAAGGGCAATAGAAGGTCTGTTTCCTTAACTATTCTGCATGCAGATCAAAAATCTAATGCAAACCAAAGTAGCTCTGTGCCTGAATTAGTCCTCAGGCTTAATGACATTATTGAAACCATAGTTAAAATGTCAGATTGTGACCATGAGGTAAATTTCTATGTCATTGGAGTCAGTGGGATTTTTGTCTTGGACTGCAAGAAATACAATATTTCATCATTTCCTCAGGTTTAGCTGTAAGAGGGCTCTTGTGCATTTGGTATTGTCCTTTTTTTTTTGCTTTTTTTTTTCCATTTATAGAACGAGTTTGGGTGCGGAAGGGATAGTTTGAAGCCTCCAGTTTCACTTGGATTTAATCAACGTCTGCGTGCTGCAGTATGCAATATGTTTGAAAGCTCAGCAGGCTCATCTAAGCAAGAACTGCAGAATTTAATCCTGCGTCACTACTAATGTTTATTTTTTTAAAAAATCTATTAAGCTCCTACATCTACCATTGCATCTTTGTAACTGCTTTCCAGAGCTATAAATGGGCTGTAAATTCAGTACTGACTTACCTGCTGTATCTTGCTGTGCACCTGCTTCACAGGCAAACCTGTGCTGGCTGTCTCTGGAGTAGGAATAGGATGCTGACTTTGCTCTGTAAAAGTCTAAAGGGATCACAACCTGGATATTTAAGAAACAGCTTTCTTCCTCTGACAATCGGAAGTCACCGTTAAGCCCTTCCTAGCTCACTAAAGAGGGAGCTGCTGGCAATGTACCCCTCATGATTTCTTTAGGGCATCAAAACCAGTTCCTGGTTTTGGTCTGCAGAAACACAGGTTGGGCTTTGCTGCCTTTTGGGGATATAAAGCAAAGTTTGACTGTTTGCAGGGGGAGTTTTGGCATTTTTTTTTGTCAGAGGGACACTCGGATCTTGGCACGTTTCCTCAGCTTCACCTACCCTATCGGTGTGTTTTGTGGAGGTGAGAGGCGAGAAGTCCCAGGAGCTTGGCTCCAGGGAGGTAGTCAGTCTTGGCAAACCTTTTGTTGTCCTGCTGCCTCCGCAGTCATGCAGTGTGCGTGAAGTATGTTAGGAATGGCCCAGAGAAAGCAGAATTACGTTATCTGGAAAGTACCAGTAATACTTAAAGCTATGAAAGATTTGCCTGGCAGCTTTCGTAAGGCTGTTCAGAAAAGATATTTTGGGATGACTATTACGGCAAGGTTAAAACTATTCCCTACCAGCACCACCAAAAAGACGAGGGGTCGCTTCATGCATTTTAAGCCAGTAATGGGCCCTGCAAATACTCTATCGGCCTGCTCCCCTCCGCGGTCCCAGACGGAGAGACGGGGTGTCAGTATTCGAGCCTACTTGGGGAAAAAGACAATTACTTTAAAAGCTGTTGAAGGACCATGATTGCAGCATTTCAGCACGGACAGAAGCTCAGAGGAGGGGTGGCCGTGCTGTGTAGGAAATTATCATCAAGTGAAATGTATGCCCTGAGTAACAGTATCCTGCCACAGAGCATGGGCTAATCCAGCACTACAGCGGTAGCAATCCCAGGCAATTACATCTGCTGTTACAAACCCGGTTTTGTGTCCCTTACTCATCCTCTCTTCTGTCCCAGAGCTCTAACCTGCCTGTCTGCAAGCTCATTGTCGCTGGCATGCACGCTGCCTTTCTGCCCCCGCGTGCTTGGGTGGTGGAGAGCGATGCTCATGCCTGCGTGAACAGAGGTGACCTCCTCTTCTGTCACTGCTCTGAGTGATGCCTTTCTGCAGGGAAATTACTATTCACGTATCTCCTCGAGAACGGTGTGCCGTTGTATGGATGCTTTTATGTTCTTTCTCTTCCTGATCAAATACTGAAATGTATTGCTAAGATTGCAAGGAGCGCTCTCCAGCTGTTTCATATGGAAACAGTTACTGTGGATGCTATATAGTAAATGCTTTCCTATGCAGTTATCCATGCATGAGTTACGAAATTCAATTAGAAAAATAATAGTCTTATTTTGGTTTTAATTATCACCTGTTCTGCAATGCAGCTCTTCTAAAGAATGTGGTTAGTGGTAGTACCATGTGAGCTGAGCCGTTTTTCCCTGCAACAACTGCCAACTACAATGACTTTAAAAAATGAATAAACAAGAACTGAGCTTTGCAGTATTGGACTCGTTTATCATAACACGTCTTCTTAGGCCCAGGTCCTTGGTCTAACATTTCAGCGACTCCAGACAGTCATCTTGGTTCAGTTGGTAGCAGCTCAATCTTCAGCAAAGTCTGTCTAAAACACCATCTAGCCAAAAGGAAAAGACGGGAGCAGAGACAAGTAGGAACAGAGACAAGAGACATCGTCTACTATGAACAAGACTTGTTGTTGTAATTAATATGGCTCAACTTTTTGCAAACTGTGTGATTGTAACTTGCATAACTCTGTGTGGTAACACTGGCTTTTAAATACATTATTTCTGTAATATTAATTACTGTGGGTATATCCAGTGTCTGCGTGAGTTCACTGCAGTCTCCTATTGTTCCCATGCTGAGCGAGATGTTTGTAGGTGGGTGCTTGAGGCATCGCTGATCTATCACTTGGATTTGCACATGGTCAGTGCTGGACCCTGCATGTCCTTCAATAAAGCTCCTCCTCTGCTGGAAGCCGAGGCTTCCTCCTCCACCTGCGGGTTTCGGGAGGCGGCGAGCAGCCTGGTGTGCCTGCCCGTTGCTGATGGACGTAATTCTCGCCCAGCTGTTGCTCCTCCTGCCGTGCGCTCGCAGAGGTATCTATTGCAAAGGCACTTGCGACATTTTTTTTCAGTCCTTGCTGACCAGATCCTGCAATGTCACGCAGGCGCTGGGGAGGACACGAGAGCACGGTGATGTTCACACCTTGCTGGTTCTGTGCCAGGTTTGCAGGTTGGCGACAGGAGTGGCTGCTCATGTCCCCCCCGGCAGGGCCTTTTTTTAGGCATTTGTTGGTAACTCACAGTGACAGGAGGAACTGGATGCTCTTCAGGGACCACCCTGATTGGCCTCAGGGCAATACATGATGCTCTAAATCTTAAACTTATATTTAAGCGCCACCAACAAAGAAATTCGGTATCTTAACACTGTGAGCAGACTCATCCTGCTGGAAGTCACGTATGTGCTGAGCATGGATAATTCAGTGTTGGCGAGAAGCTGAGAGAACCAGGGAATAAGGATGGTCCAGGCTCGTGTCTCGGGCTCTGGAAGCACCCGTACCCTTGCACCATCTGTGTATAAATCCTTCTGTCCCCATCTCCTTTCTACAACTTGAAGGGGAAAGGGAGCCCTTTACAAGTATCTCACTATAGCTATAAAGTTTCTGAAACACCAAATGAACGGGCTCTGGAAGCACCCGTATCCTTGCACCATCTGTGTATAAATCCTTCTGTCCCCATCTCCTTTCTACAACTTGAAGGGGAAAGGGAGCCCTTTACAAGTATCTCACTATAGCTATAAAGTTTCTGAAACACCAAATGAAGGATTTTTCTTTTTTTCTTTTTTTTTTTGTCTAAAGGAGTTG